TATATATATAGATATATATATAAATTTATTTTCTTTCTTTTTTCGCATATCCTGTTTTGCCTGTATGGTTGCGGTAATTTGTTTGCTGGACTTAGATAATAGCCCAACATATTCGCTTCCCCAACTTTATTAGAAAAGGCTTAGGGGACAACATGGTGTGCAATGAGACAGAAAGGGAGGGGGATAAAAATCAGGGGAAGAAAGAAAGAGATCGACTGAAAAAAAAGAGAGGAGAGAGAAAAGATAAATAAGAAAAAAATTCATCAAAACAAACAACACAGAAAATCACCAGTAGCTCCTAGAAGTCAGCTCACACACCTGCATGAAAGAAAAAAACAACAAAACATAAAGGTCACTTCTCTCCAGCCTTTATAGCATCACTGCTTCCACCAAACATAATGAACAGTTTACATCCCTGCTATGCTTTGAACAAACCTTCATAGTTTTACATACATTTTGTTTTCCAGTGGAAAACAAAACAAATCAAAATCATATAATTTTCCTTTTTTAATTGTTAATATTTCTCGTTTCTATTGTTTATCCGGGAGCTTCCATTTTGCTGTCATGTACTGGTTTTCAGATTTAAATGCATCTTTCCATGCATGGCTATTTGAAAATAAAGAAAAGAAAGTGTGAATATGTGAATACTGCCATGATCTTAGCGCTGATGACTGGATTAAATATTCATTCCATTCTCCTGTCCCATTCTGCCCGGTTCCTCATTACCTCTCATCTGTTCCACCTGCTCCTGACTCCATTTAAGGTGCTAGAATCCAGTCATCAGGGCAGATTATTCTTGTTCTCTCGTGCCAGTGGTGAGAGTGTTTTTAGCATACCTTAATGTTTCTGATCACCTGATCTTGACCTGTTCTGCCTCTCAACCACTGTGCGTGCCTATTCTGATCTGTTTGCCTGCAGCTGCAGCATCTATCCTACACAGTGTGTTTTTGTCAAGTGTATTTTTCCCATTCATTCACTACACTTAAATAATGAAATTAATTCTAGCTAAGAAAAACAGACTAGTTTTAAGCGTTTAAATGGACTGGTATGCAGTACATTTGCCTTGTTTTTAAGCCTGTTGTATGCTTGTTTTGAGCAATAACTGGTTAGAGGTTATTAAATTCTAAGCAATAATGATAATAAATGAGAATACGTTGCTTAAAATAAGAAAAAATCTTAACGAGTAAAAGAAAAAGTAGATTTTTAAACTTGATTTAAAATTTTTTGGATGCTTACTACTCTGATATTATGTTCTTGTTTTAAGAGATCTTACCAAGTCTCATTTGCTTGCTGCAGGGGCAGATTATTTTGCTCAAAATAAGAAATAATTCACTTAAAACACTATATTTTTTTCTTATTTTTTAGAAGGCATTTTTTTGTTGTGTGGGCAGCACCCGCTGCATACACTGCAAAAATAATCTAAAAATTAGTAAAAATGTCTTAAATTAAGTGTATTTACCCTTAATTTGCTCCTTTGTTAAATCACATCCATGTATATCTGCACGATGCCACATACCTGTTTCTCTCTGCTTTGTGCTCATTGGGCTTAAACAGTTTTTCTCTCTTTGTCGTTTATTGTGTCAAGAAATAATCGAGAGCATAGTTACAGAGATGCTGAAATCTGCCCTATCATTTAATGTAAGACTAACTCCTCTCCTTTCTGCCTGTTAACTCAAAATTAACAGATTATAACCCTGGAACAATCACAAAGGACTCCCAGCAGCATCCTTCAGTTAGATATACATTATTAGTCTCAAATTCACACACTGCAAGAAATGTAAATCTCAATAAGTCATTTATTTCTTAAAGTAAGTGCTTTTTCT